TAGATTGTATAAAGGGAAAGTTTATATATATATATATATATCTATATATATTTATATTTATATATATCTATATATATATATATATCCTCCTTCTGGACAATAAAACAATTGAAACAATCCCACAGACGCACACTGAAGGAGGGACTCGAGCCACATCCACAGACCAGAAGATCACCAAGACTTGAGGCTTGGACTAGTTAGCAACCACATAAAAATGCCCTAGAAAGCACCCACAACACTTTAACATCACAGCAACTGGTTGCACGAACAAACACCACTCCCATTTTTTTGGGAAATTGTAAAAATTAAGTGTTCTGCAGTACTTGATGTAAAGGTTTTGAGTGGTGCTGATATTTTTAGTCTGTAATCTAAGCGTATATATACGGCCCACATCAGCAGGGATCCCACATCAATTTCATGATTTTAATTGGTTGGTAGAGCAAATGCAAATAGCTTGAGTGTGATTCCTAGAGGTTGTAAAAGACGGAGTTTCAGACGGTTTTAAAACCTGATTTACTTCTTCAGCTTTGTGTGGATGACAGACTCACATGAGCACTCTTGTTATCATACTGCGTTCTAATGAGGCAGCGTCGTTGTTTGTTGTCTTGTTTCCAAGATGACGTCTTGCTGATAAAAGTGATTCAGAAACAAACGCAGGTACGGGAGGACAGATTGTTGTTTTTGTAAAGTATTTCATAATTGATGGGCTGCTTTGATTTGATTTGTAGCCTGATGGATTTATCTGAAGTAATTGCGGTCATTAGGGAGAGCGCAGTTTAAAAGCAGCAGAGGGTCGACTGGCGGAGTACTTTGATATTTTATGTACGAGAAATAAATGAATATAAACACACACACACACATTCCCCCAGGGGGCTTTACTGTTAGCTGTGGGGCTGTAAGAGCCATCCAGGGTTCAGTAATTAAGTCTGAGTTCATTAGGAAACAGCGAAGAGAAGGCTGCAGTGAGAAATTAAAATGAAGGGGACGGACTGGACAGGTCTTTAGGTGAGCTGTTCGATGTAAACCCTCTTCTGATAGATTTGCGACACTCAAAAATACTTCATTAAAGACTCCCATGGGAATATAAAAATAATATGCAAAGAACTTCTCAGTTGTTTCTCCTAGACTTCTGCTAAAGTCTTACCCAGCTAACAGGGAACATTCTCGCAACGTTTTTTAAATGTTATATGAATGTTAGGACAACATTTTTAAAGTAATGTTAATGGAATGTTCTTTCCACTTTATTAATATTTTATGTACAAAGTTCTGTCATGAAACTCTGGTGCAGGCTGATAGGTTCTAACTCAATCTGCCATAATGACATCATTAGCACGTGGTGCAGCTGATTGGTTCTTTTTGTATCAGCAGCCAATGAGCTTGCTGCTCAAACATTCAAATACTCGGCTAGTGCTTGCTGTAGCAGTTGCAGCGCGCTTCAAAGCATCTGAAATCAACATCTCTTTTACGCATATCACTGTGCATATTGCGTGGCCTGCCTAATCAATTTCTAGATGAGCAACAAGTTTAAACTAAGTGTCATGTTTAACAGTCTTGCATTCATATGCAGGAGAGAAAAACTAAGTATAAGCAGTAGCATTTATGCATCTGTGTTTATACAGCTGCAGCAGCAAGCAGTCTGTAATTGTTCTGAGGACATGCCGACAAGTTAAGGACATGAGAACAGGCTTAACGGAAATAAGCATTCCCATTTGTATGCATTTCAACCGGGGTTCGCTTATTAGCTGCTTAACCTCAATGTTCATGTTTGCTTATTTCTTAGGTCGATGTTTTCCATAGCTGTGCTGAGTGTGCAGTTGATTCAGCTGCACGCAGAGTCTGAGTCACGCTCTCTTTAGCATCCTAAAGGCTTTAATACACAATAAGAGTATAAAAGTTATATCAATTACAGTTATCAAATGACTTAGATATTTTGCTCAGGTGGATGCTGGGGTCTCTAATCAGCTTGCAATGTATATCTATTTGTAAATTACACAAATTAGAGTGTGCACTCTAGTTAGTGTGATAGATCTGCTTGTTTGGGGGGTAAAATAAATCAAATAACATCATATTTTGGGTGAAAAAGTTAGTAGAATGTTGTAAGAAACATTTTTGTAACCTTTAAATAACATTACAATCACAAAAAGAAAACTGGAAATTTCAACGTTCTTAGAATATTAAAAATAGCATTCAACTAACGTTATATTTTGGGAGAAAATAAAGTTCAATCATGACAACTCTCTGAACATTTTAACATGGTACAGGAACTTGCTACTGCCAATGCATATGGCGATACGGTGCCATGAGTATTTAAGACATACTGCTGCTGCACAAATAGCATATAAAATAACCCCGTAGCAGATCTATACAGGTGGAACTGGGGAAGGTCGAGGGTTTCAGAGAACTCTGAAAGCGCGCTGCAGGAATCTCAAGTGAATGCTTGCCAGCCATATAAATGCAAGGCAGTAAGCTCATTGGCTGCATATGCAGCATGAATCAATCAGCTTGTGCCAAGTTATTTAACTCTCTGAATATCATCAGTTACGTTAACACCCCGTCAGAATGCGCCATCTAGAGTTTCATGACTGAACTATATATTTAGTAGAAGGCTGTAAAAAAACATTACGATCAAATGTTTCAAAAGCATTTCTAAGCACTGTTGCCACAATGTTTTTTTAACCTAAATTTGTTACCTGGGTAAATGTTTCTTTTAAGAAATAGATCTTGTTAATTTCACATCATTTCTTTCATATGATCTCAACTATGTGTCAAATTGTCCTTAAAATTGCCAAGATAACAGTGTGCATTCAAACGTCAAAGATCTCATTATGAACTCAAACATTTCTCGTCAAGTTCAAATTTAAAGATGATTTGATCTGTTCTATCAACATTCAATGTATAGATTTGTTCTTTATATGTAAACTCTACCTCTGTCTTTATAGGCGTTTTAGGTGAAATATCTGAGAGAAAGTTGATGCTTAAAACATTACATCTCTGTATTCTTAATTACTGCCTCTTATAGAAACTGAAGTGATTCCTTTCCGATAACTTTAGTTAGAATACATGTTGTTATTTCTATGTCAAGTCAAGTCACCTTTATTTATATAGCGCTTTTAACAATACAGACTGTGTCAAAGCAACTGAACAGCATTAATTAGGAAAATAGTGTGTCAATAATGCAAAATGACAATAGTAAACACTCATTTTTCAGTTAAAGACAGTTCATGTATAGGTGCATTAATGACATCAAAGCACCTGTCAGAGTGTTATGTACAAGGTTTAATGTGTGCATGTGTGTGTTTGCTTAGCTGTAGTAAGAGACGAATTTGGAAGAGACATCCTCAACTGGAAAAATATGGAAAAAAGTGTGTGGTATATAAGTTTACACAGCTGTGACTTTGAACTTCAATTCTCCTTCTTTCTCTTCAAACCGCTGCCCTGCAGGTCACATATATTTCTCAGTGCACATCACACTGGCTCATGTTCCTGTTGCTCTCATTTACTGGGTTCACTGGTATCATTCTGAATTATATTCAAATCTTCTGTGAGGATTTTTCACATTAAAATACTTTCTTTAATCTCAGTTTAACAAGTAGAGACAAAGCCATCGGTACTTTGACCTTGTGAAGAGTGAAACACTGACTCTGCGATGCTTTCGAAACATTGATCTGTTTGTTTGAGCCTGACATGCCGATGTCTGACACAAATAAAGGTAAAGTATGGGGCGGGAGGGTGTGTTTGCTTGTCCATTGGTGGACAGGGACAGAGTGGAAGGGAAAACATTATGGACATGATCGTTACAATGTGTGCAAGGCATCAGATGGTATTATGCAACGTCTCATGCATTGTGCACTCATACAACTGTATAACGAAAGCTTACTTAATTGGTACTAGACCAAAAAGAGCAGTTTGCAGTTCAAAAAGTCCCCAAACCTCTCAAACAACTCAAAGTTCAAAGTTTCTGTTTTCATCTCTGAGTGCTTTAATCGATCATTTGAGGAATACAGCTCTTTTTAAGGATGTACACAGTGATATCGGTCAAAGGTGTGTGGTGTGTGTTTGTGTGTTGTCCTGCTGATCAGAGGTTTAATTGGATCTCTGAGCTACAGACAACATTTCTGGACATTGCACATGCTGTAATTCACTCAACTATGGGACTCTCTCAGACACCGTAAAGCTTAATCAGATCTATTGCCCTATGAGGAGACGTAAAAATGAGAATCACTTCATCAGTAACAGTTAGGAAATTAGGGGAGCCCGGGGCTAATTGTCACATGCAGAAGTCGTCACAAGGGCCATCATCATATCATGATCATCAAAAGAACATTTATAAGAATATATTATTATTAAGAATATATATATAATTTTGTGATTTTTTTTTGGTAGGTTAACCTTAAAGGAACACTCCACTATTTTTGAAAATAGGCTCATTTTCCAACTCCCCTCAACCCTCTACGCACACCTTGGCAATATAATCGCCATTGGCTAGTACATTTTTTTGTTTACTCGCCAGACTGATATACTATTTTACACACACACGTTTACTTAGCTATCTAAATGGGGGCATTACATAGACTTCTATTGTATTTATATACAGATAGTTATACACGTTTCAACCTAAACCCACCCCTACCCCTAACCCTACCCCTCACAGAAAACTTTCTGCATTTTTACAATTTCAAAAGTAAAAAAAAAACTTTGTTTACTTTATTTTAACAGTTTTACAAATGAGGACATCCACAAATTGAGGTTTTTGCTGATTTTGTCAGGCTTTGGTCACTTTTGGGTACAAATTTGTCCCTAAAATATGGTTAAGTAGGTACACACACACACACACACATATGATTCCACCCAATCAGCTTATCTTTGTAAAATGGAGTAGCTTCTTAAATAACTGAATGTGCATTCTTAACTTCAGCCAATCAAGCATTATATTATGATATTATGATAATTAAGCACTATTTAATGATAGAACTAGTGATTAGAACTAAAACTTGGTAACCATGTATGAATGCATATTTGTCATTTTAACTGAACTTAGGACTGGTGGTGGAGTTTAAGATATTGTTGGTCATAGGTAATAGTAATTATTATTAAAAGATACTACTACTATTATTATCTGCTGGGTTCATGAATATTAATCATGTTGTCAGCATTCGCTCGAACTGATTTGCTGAAACCCACTGCAGAGAAACCGGTCTTCTGCTTGTTCCTAAAAGCTGAATAATTCTAAATTAACTCTGTTATTTTGACAGGAAAATACAACAAAGAATATGGTTTCAGCGTGGTATGCATGTGTGAGAAACACAGCGCTATCAGTAAAGTGACAGCGAGTTGTGCACCTTCACACTAGTTTACAGTATGTCAAATACAGGTGCGCTGCGTGCTACATACTGCGCATCCATTGAGTACATGACATGATCCATTGACGTGTCGTGTGGTGTGTGGCCAAGTATGGTGACCCATACTCGGAATTAGTGCTCTGCATTTATCCCGTCCAAAGTGCACACACACAGCAGTGAACACACACACACACACACCTCCGGAGCAGTGGGCAGCCATTTTTTTGCTGTGGCGCAGCAGTTGGGGGTTCGGTGCCTTGCTCAAGGGCACCTCAGTCGTGGTATTGAAGGTGGAAGAGAGTGCTGTACATTCACTCCCCCCCCCCACAATCCCTGCCGGTACGAGACTTGAACCCA